GGGGGGGGGGGGGGGGTGAAAATTACTTCGCGTGGAAAGTTTAACGTTTCTGAACAGGGAAAGGTGTAGAATAGTATTTAATATCATACACGTACAGAATAATACGTTAATTTTACAACTATGATTGTTAATAACTTTTTAATGAAGGACGAGCGGCGCGGCGGCTAAAACTTATTGGAGGTTACTCAGGGTCATGACCTTGACAATATATGTCAAGGTCAAGGTCATAGCGCTGGCCTCCCTTTTTATGCACTTTTACTAAAAATTTTTTACTTACACTTTGTAACCGACGGAGTCATACAAATTTCTCTTATTAAATTTTCTTGTAACTTCAACCAGTTGCGAGATATTTGCTCGAATATTTATGGACGGGCATCCTGTATATTTATACAATACTATACCTATATAGATATATAAGTTGAAACCCGCCCTCTAGCGATAAATAGCTGTAGCTTTGATAATCGTCAACTGTAATGGCTGAACAAAGGCATCATTTATAGTTTAAACCCTTGTCAATAATATTCAGTATATAAAAGTTTGTGTTTGTGACAACAACATAGTTGTTCACTGCGAAGAAGATGTCTGAATTTCAACCAAAAAAGCATCATTTACGCGAAGCTTCGCTTTTCTGTTTGAATTTGAAGAAAACTGAATCTCATCGAATGCTTGTTGAAGCTTATAAGGAACTTGCTCTATCTGAAACAACTTGCAAGGAATGGTTTCGACGATTCAAACTTGGTGATTTTGACACAAATGATAAAGCACGTCATCGACACAGAACTGCAAGCAATGGTGGATGAAGATTCACGTTAAACACAAAATCAACTTACAGAAACGTTGAATGTTACTTAAGCAGCTATTTCCAAGCGTTTAAAAGCCATGGGAAAGGTATACAAGGTAGAAAGATGGGTACCATATGAATTGAAAGAGAGAGACATAGAAAGGCGAAAAACCATTTCCGAAATGCTGCTTGCCAGGCAAAAAAGAAAGGGGTTTTTGCATCAAATTGTGACTGGCGATAAAAAGTGGATCTATTTCGATAACCCCAAACGCCGAAAAACCATTTGCGATCCAGGCCAACCATCGACATCGACGCCCAAACGGAATATTCATGGGAAAAAGGCTATGCTCTGTATTTGGTGGGACCATAAGGGTGTAGTATACCATGAGCTATTGAAATGTGGTCAAACAGTCACAGGGGATCTCTATCAACAACAAATAATCCGTTTGAGCCGAGCATTGCGCGAAAAACGACCAGAATATGAGACAAGATAGCATAAAGTGATCTTGCTTCACGACAACGCTCGACCTCACGTTACAAAACTCGTTAAGGAAACGTTAGAAGCACTTCGCTGGGAAGAGCTATCCCATGCGGCTTATTCACCAGAATGTGCCTCTTCCGACTACCACTTATTTCGATCAATGGCACACGCACTTGCAGAGAAACACTTCAAATCTTATGAAAAATGGGTCTCTAACTGGATAGCCTCTAAAGATGAGTCGTTCTTTCGCCGTGGGATTCACCAATTACCAGAAAGATGGAAAAAAGTCATATCTAACGATAGCCAATACTTTAATTGATAAATTCTTTTTATTTATTTTTTAAATAAAGGCTTAATTTTGGCAAAAAAAAAAGGGCGGGTTTCAACTTATATACCTAATATATTTATATTTATATGTTATATTTATATATCAGTATGTATATATTATTTGTTGATCTATTCTTTTTTATGATTAGGTCAATGGAATGTTTCAAACTCCAGTATGCACACTGATGAATCTGGATTCTAGTATCGTACAATTAAACTTCCTCTCGCCTCTACTATTGGTTTCCACATTAGCACGTAGTTATGTCTGCGACACAGTGCAAGAACAGTACAAACAGATTGGCAATAAATCGCGGAACGGCGAGTTCGGCGCATGTTTTTACATGCACGAGAATAATACTTTAAAAGGACAGAGGGAAGAAAGAAACACTGACAATACACGAAGCGCGTTTAATTTGATCTCTGATAACGATATCAATATTCTAAGCGAGAATCATTCAAAGATATTTTGCGCTCGGCCTGGTTCAAGATTGTGGGAAGTATCGGCCGATGGAATCGTCGAGAAGACGCATCAGTTCAAAGAGGCTTTGGCAATTCCTCCGACAGTAATATTTCGATCAAATAGTACCTTAGAATCTAGTCAGAAGAAGGAAACGGAATGCGAATGGGCGCCGCAGTCTGTCAACTTCTCACACTTGTTCGTACTCGCGCACAAGTATTTATTTTCCTATACGACTAGCGGTCTGTATGTTATTGATCCGACGAATGCAAGCATGCTATTGTGGAACAATGAGTATACAAACATCAGTATGACTGCAATCGTGGATAATCAGATCTACTTGATGACCTGTGATAACAAATTTCATTGTATAGCATTATCGTCACTCGACAATCTAATATTATGGCTGTATTGCCGCGAACGATACAGAGAGTGTTTAAACGCGTGTTTTGTATATAAGCAGCAATTATTAAAAATAATTGGCACTACGGAAATTGTTGAGCTGTTTAAAGTAAAAAATTTGCCGCAAGATGAGAAAGAGCTGCTGCGACCATTAATAACGCTTCTGCAAGCTAGTGATAATAATAGACCGGCTAAATTAAACTCCGGGATCGTAGTCGTACACTCTGAAAACAATAGATTTGTTAATAAAAAAACTTATGGCTGTAAAATGACGCCTTCGTCGCAGTCTCCCGAAATCTCTAGCGATGATTCGTTTGAGATGCAAAATTTTGCTCAAGAAAATATCTCTGAAACAAATCCAGAGAATTTATTTGATTCGATTTACAACGGCAAAATGTTAGATACTAAAGAAGATGGTCATCAGAATCCGGATTTTCAAGAAAACATTACGCATAAGATTCAGTCAGATTTGCAATCGATTTACGAGTTGGCGAACAGCTTCAGACCTGGTATGTTGGAGAAAGAAATCGAGGAAATTATTTTGGGAACAGATAAAAGGATGAAAACTATTAAGGATTTCTATCGAGACTCGCTTGGGCTTCAGAGTTTTATCTATGAAGTTACTCGCGCCGCGGAATTGCATTATTATAATATGTTTCTGGAAAACACCTCCATGCAATTGATCGACTCCATCGGCAACAATTACATCTTGCGGCATTTCGTAAGAGCCTTTATCGAAATCAATGCACCGGCTTACTTCAGATGCAGTTGTGATTACCCTTACCCAATGGATAAAACCGTAGAGCCGAAGTTTTTGACGGTCGGCGAATCATTCTTTAAAATATATGCGGACGATCTACCGAAAGAATGTAGCAATATTTGTGACAAGGTACCTTATATGTGGCGTGTGTACCTGCCTATTCGCATCGAGGGACGTAGTGCGCTGGACGATTTGTTGAGACAATGTCTTCAGACCAGAGACAATGTCGTGTTATCGTTTCTTCTACCGGCGCTAAATGACCAACAGTGGAATTGCGTAGGTACATGTCTAAGTGAGATTGAAGACAATACTTGCCTCTTTTGCGCGACACCTTTGGCAAAGAAATTCGATTATGACGTACTGATAGATTGGAGTGGGATTGTCAGGGAAATTATGAAAAGAGAAGGACCAGATGAGGCCATGACGTTCCTGATTAAGCTGGAGGATACGATACCGAATCTTGATTTAGACAAAAGGTATTGAAAAATCTTCGAGCGTTGAGAGAGAGGGAGAGAGAGGGAGAGAGAGAGAGAGAGGGGGGGAGGGAGAGAGGGGGAGATGTGTGCATGCGTCAGTTTGATAAAATCCAGCCCGGTTGGGTTTTATTGAGTTTTATCGGATTATTCGGTTTTTCAAGTTTTACTTTTGTTCGGAGTTAAATGTAAAGACTAATGACCATATTCATAGTCACGCCTTATATTTAAAATTTCCTTAAGTTTGGGTGCCTTCCAACAAACGACACACATGACACGGTGACTTGTTCGCCAATGTTAAACAAGGATGAGATGATCACTGTGTCGCACCGTGTCACTTGTTGGAAGACACCCTTTATCTTCAGATGTTTTATGAATTATTTCATTGCTACTGAGCATCTAAAGATAAATTTCAGAAAGCCTTAAATATAAGATCTGAGTATGAATACGGGTTTAAATCACATTTTAAAAAGAAATTGATTTTACAACTAGTATTTTGAATGTGGAATTTGAAAATTCTATTCGAAGTACGGAGTTTAATATTGTATATTTAACTTTTATAATTTTTAATATTGTACTTAATAGTCAGATATCTATATCAATATAGAAAATTCAAATATTAGCAATATTTGCAACGATTCTCAGCAGTTTACAGTTAAGTATTCTCATTTGCTAGGCAAGCAAAGATTTACTTTGATAAAGGTGATATCACTAATTAAAATAATTAGTTGATGAAATAAGAAATAAGAAACTGGTCCTTATAATAAATGAGAACATATAGTTCATTTGTGTAGTTGGTATACACTTTTGCATTATTACTTTAAAAACGGTTTGATTTAATCTTTAAAACAGTTTAAGTTTAAAAACAGATATTAATTATTTCAATTTTAATAATAATTAAAAGTACTTGTTTTTAATTATAATTAATTTTATAAACGAGCTAAGTGAGTGTACATGCGCATGTGTGTATGTGTGCGTGCGTACGCGCGCGCGCGCGCGTGTCAGTTAATGGATCTTTTAAAATGAGACATCTTGTACATTTAAAATATTATTTTATTGATTTAGTATTATAGATTATAGAAGATATTAATTTGTACAGAGTTTTGCCACAAATTTATAATTGTAAAATTTCCTGACATTTCCCTGATTTACTGACAAAATTTTGATATTTTTCCTGACCTCAAATGATACATATTTTTCAAGGTTTCTTGTAATTTCCAGCGATTGTACATAAATCCAGGAATCGATTTCCCAAAAAAAAAGAGGTTATCAAAAAAGATCACGGCTAAGCGTGAAGGCAAACAATGTTCAGCTGCAGCTATTCTAATTTCCCTGACAGTTGTGCTAAATCCATAGATATTTATATAACACTAGATCGCTAACTCCCCTATATACCGTGCATAGAAATTGATTCCAAAACTTATGTATTACGAAGCGTGACGTCAGAATAAAACGGTCACGTAGTATATACTATTGTGTCATGGCCCCGGTAAGGCCACATGGGCAATATACATACGTGTAACGTTCATTTGTGCGTGATTTTGGAAAATTTACAATGCCATTATCTTATCGTGATAAAAGTTGCCGCCGTTTAAGTGGAAAAGAGAATCAGGAGGTAATATTTCATAGGTAAGTCGCAATCATTCTCGTATTTTATTGTAGAGGTTATTGCAATCATAATTGATCCTTTACCTTAACTTTTTAATAATACGAACAGATGCTCACAATTTCGTATGTCGAGTAATTGAAAATAAACTTACAAATTTACTTTCAAAAATGCTAAGGGGTTTACGGATTATCTTTTGTGCCCCCTAAAGTTAAATAGGTCCGGGCCCTTCAACTCTTTAACCGGGCCTGGTAACGTGTCAATGTCACGGACACGTGACATGGGTTTAGCACATACTTTTCGGAATCATGTACTAGAGCCCAGTTAGCGATCTAGTGTTATATAAATATCTATGCTAAATCCCTGATTTTTCCTGACTTCCCCGACGCATTTTTAAATTCCCTCTCATTTCCCTGACTTCCCTGACTTGTGGCAACCCTGTTTGTAACATTAATTTGTCATTTATAAACATTTTTTATTATTAGAAGAAAGAATTTCCATGGAAAATCATAGCATAATATTCGATATTTTTTATTGTTAATAGAACTACTATTACCATTAAAAAACTAATATAAGATTATTAATTTTTCGTTTATCATTCTGCAAATTGCAAAAAATATAGAATACAACACTATGTAAAATTATTAGTATTCTTGGCTTGCTGCAAAAGGGGTGTTCCGCGAGACTTTTCCAATCTCGCACAGGAAGGTTATAGGATCGAATACAGAAGTCGTATACTGTTTAGTTCGATTCTCGCAATATTAACACAGATATTAATTTTTGAAATTGTCTAATGAGAGCACGTTTTGAGAAACACTCCGGTCGCTTGAGATATAACCCGGCCCACTTTTTCAAACATGGGCTGCGTTGGTAGCGCAATTAAAGAAACAAGCAGGGAAGCGCTTTACTCGGTGCCCGGCATCGTCTGCGCGCGCACACACAACACACCACGCGCGCGCGCGCGCGTGTGATACACCTTAAGTGATTGTAATGCCGACGATATTGGAATTTTCAACTCTCATAACTCGGAAAGTACTTAATAAAAATTATTTTTTAGTGTTTTGAAAAACTCTTGACACCAACTATTAGATTCTGAAATAAAAAATAGGATGTTTTATTAATAAAAATAATCGATGTGACCTTGAATTGATCTTAGCGAATAGTAATGCTATCCAAGGTCAAATTAATAAGATCAGTAAATAGTTTTTAAGTCTTACAGCTTTGTCTGAAACATTTTTCTATAAAATGAGTTATTCAAGGGTACCGACCTTTTTTCCCTATTCTGTATATAAATAAATAAAATGATAAATAAAATTTATAAACAATTTATAAGCAATTTAATGAAAGAAATATATAATTATAATCACAAGCGTCCTGTACAAAAATTAAATTAATTTCTAAAAGTAATATATTTTGATATTAATATTTGTATCATTTTTATTATAGTATATTCCATTCGATCATATTTACAAAAATGTTGCATCGCCAAGGTTTGAAGAAATCGATTGATTTCAGTAAAATTAATCCATTATCGTCAAAATTTGGCACAATTTGCTCATCACAGGTAATTTCATTGCTATTTCTATCATAAAATAACGAAATATCTAAATAACTTCAATTTAATCTGAAAATATCCTTCAGATTTTTGTTTTTTTTAGATGAATGTACATACATACATAGTAAATGTGCGTTCCGTTTCGCGCATGATGCACATAATGCATCAATTGTCGTTGTTCAACATTTGGTAGGCAACAAAGATAAACGACACGTTATGCGCATCATGCGTGTAACGGAACGCACCCTATATCACACAATTCTTAAATCAAGTAACTGTCAACAGCCGATACAGGTTAATCGTGTGTAAATTCATATATTTTAAAAAACTAATTGATTATAGACGTTTCAACCCTTTCGTTTGGGTCTTCTTCAGTGTATGATTAAATGTGACGTTGATTAAATTAAATACAATAATATTATTATAAGTTTGATCTAAAAATTAACTATTGTAATAAATAATATGGTAAATCTTCGGAATAGGGGAAACAGCTCCGATCTTCTTGACCTTGACATATGTTGTCAACAGTGTTGTGCATAGATGATTTTAAAATTAGCTAGATAAAGATAAGATGAAAATTTGAAAATTTATCTTAGATAAGATAAAGATGATTACATTTAAATTAATCTAGATAATATAGATAAATTTATCTGACAATTTATCTAAAAATTCTAGATAATTTTTTATGTTTAAGACTATTTATAAATTAAGAATCAGTTTTTTCTCAAAATAATTAAAAAATATTAAATTTTAATATGTAACTTTGTCTCTTACAATGTCTCTCACAATTTTCAAAAAAATAATGAAGAATCACATAAAAATTCTATACAGTCCTTTTCCTCTATATTAGTTGCATGAAAGCAAGCATGTCATAATCATTGCGGTTATGAATAATACGTTGTATTATGAATAATAGTGTATCTTATAATATT